TTCTGAAAGGCACTCCTAGGCGTCCAGCAGTGACGTTTTGGGTTGAATAGACAGGTAAGTGCTGGCCCTTCCCATGCACACAATGTAGGCAACCTGACCTGGTGAACCTGACTGTGTCGGTCTGCTCCCAAGAACACACTGGGGGATGGGGACTGACAGTGACCTTATAGCAGGTCAGTGCTGCCTTCCAAGGTTGGCTCAGAGGCTACTTCTGGTGGCCATTAAAGCCAGCCCTGAGGCTATGGTTTAAAGGCCCAGCAGAGGCTGTGAGAGACAGCCTAGAGGCCACAGCTCATTTCTGCTTGTTCAGTAGGCATGTCTAAATTGACATGCATAAAATAACCCAAATTTCTGCTATCTTGAAAATCAAAGCTTTAGCAACTCAGGTCTATTTCTCCACAGCAACATGAGAGGCGTCAGAGGGAAAAGAGCTGCTGTCCTTGCAGGTTGGGCAGGGCTCCCCACCTGCCCTCCCTCTGTGCCCGGCTGTACACCTGGCTGGCTTCCTAGCCATATACTGCCAGCTCTCTCAGGTAAGCTCCACCCATATAAAACAGATGTGGCAAGCTGGGATAGGGATAGGCTGTAACATTCACAAGAAAGAGCCTTAAGTAATGTAAACACCAGGGCTGCTGTGTCCTAGACGTCAACCTCTGCCCTTGCAGAGCTACGGGAGAGAGGAGCTAAAGCATGCTGACAACTATTCTACAGTGCCACAGGGTGTCTAATCTCTCAGTACCAGTGAGGTGAAGGGAAGAAACTGACCATGATGGCTTACCTGGGAAGAAATCCTTCCAAAGGAGGAGACATGTGAAGCTGTAAGAGGTCAAAGGGTGAAGGGCACCAAGTGTCCACCCACGGAAGGAATGTCAGTACCAGTTCTGAGTGAACTGCCTGGCTTCAGGGGAAGGCAGGTCCCTGACAATGGGTGGTACTCCTGCTGTGAATGTGGCCAACTGGAACCTGATATGGATGGTGGATTCATAACTACTATTTGGACATTATGGAGACTTCAGTATTATGGTAAAATCTTTATAGATAGAAAATCAAGATAAAAATATTAAATAACACGACACTTAACATGATACAAAAGTTAGAAATGGGTCATTCCCCTGTCCTTCCCAAGAGATTCGCTCTCTTTAGGAAGAGGCAAGGACCCTTGCTCTCCACACATGCCTAGAGATACCCCAAGCTCTGAGACTCTACGGCAGGATGGAAAACCTACTTATTGCACAATGCTTGGAAGGAACAGATAACATTGATTTTTTTTTAAAACCCAACTCTCTTAAGAAAATGTTTTACTAAAAATATCAATTATAGTTTTAGCCATGGGCAGAGAGTTTTAAAGGATGGAAAAGTTTTAGCAAACTCCAAACAATTCCTTTTAAACACATCCGATCATGACCTAAGCGCTTGGTGACAACGCAACAGAACAGAAGCTAAGTTGCAAACAGGCACAAATAAGGCAATGGTTAAATCACAGTCAAAAATCTGTTAGAAAACATGCAAAAATAATACTGAGTTTTCTTTTAAAAAGTTTCAAATCATTATTAAATGTTTTTGTAAAAATCTGAAGAGTTCATGTCTAAACTGAAGCCGGACTTTCAGAAGCCTATAAAATAGAAGGATAGCGCCCCACAGTTCAGTTGTTGTTCTCTTTGGTGGTGATTGTGACCAGCTGTTTGGCAGCCTTGGCGATGTCATAGGCACACTGGATGACCTGCTGTGTGACCAACTGCACATCCGTGGGCAAGCTTGAGTCTCCTGGGAGGGCCTTTCTGCACTCTGACTGGAGCCGGTAGGCACTGGACGTCAGTAACCGGAGGGAAGTCCTCACCGTGTCAGACTTGGGTTTCTAAAATGAAGAGTACAGCTGTTTGCTGTGGGCTGCAGGATGGACATCCAGCAGCAAGGCATAAGCCTGCCCCGACAGCAACTGCAGTTGAGTAAAGTCCAACCTTTCTCAATTGGGTATTTTTTTGTTTTGTTTTGTTTTTTGTTGTTGTTGTTGTTTTTTTTTTTCCGAGACAGGATTTCTCTGTATTGCTTTGGAGCCTCGCCTGGAACTTGCTCTGTAGACCAGGCTGGGCTTAAACTCACAGAGATCCTTCTGCCTCTGCCTCCCAAGTGTTGGAATTAAAGGTGTGTGCCACCATCGCCCGGCTCAATAGGGTATTTAAAACAATACCAGCTTTATGAACCATGGCCTAAGAGTGAGGAAATGCTTACATTTGAGAAGAACTTTAATATTATGTGCTATTTTGAGGTATTAAAAATATAATCTTGGGGCTGGAGAGATGGCTCAGAGGTTAAGGACACTGGCTGCTCTTCCAGAGGTTCCGAGTTCAATTCCCAGCAACCACATGGTGGTTCACAACCATCTGTAATGAGATCTGGTGCCCTCTTCTGGCCTTCAGGGATACATGCAGAGAGACCACTGTATACATAACAAATAAATCATATATATATATTTTGTATCCTAAACTTTATTCTACTGCTTTGCCTTGTAGCACCTGACTTACACATCCAGGTCTTACTAAAACCGATATCCATGCATAGTGAAAACACCTCAAAGCCCTATAAGATGATGTATTTAATAACTGTATGCTACAAAAAACTTAAGAAAAAGGTTATGAGCTGCTGCACAGCTGTACAGGAGAGTGTTTGCCTAGTATGCACAGGGCCCTGGGTTTTATCCCAGCACCCTGCTCCTCACCAAAGACAATATAAGGTCAGGAAACAATGCTGAGAAACTTAACAGAGGATGAGTAGGAAGTGACTTACTTTGGGGAATAAGGCTGCCATCTCGGTAACAGCAACATGTATTCTCTCTGAGCAGGGAATATAACTGTAAGACATAGAAGAATCCATTAAAGCAGCTCAGATGATTTAGAGGTAAAGAATGCTCAGAGGCCAGATGGGTTCCATTTCCACCTGGTTAATGAAGGGCTTAGGTTGGGGCTAGCTGTGTGCACACCAAAAGCAGGCATGAGCACACCGACAGCAGGCACAGCTATGAAGCAGGTCCCCCTCCTTTCAGGAACACACTCATCCTGGTAACAGTCCCCAGTCCTGAAATCTGCTCTGTGTGCTCTGGGCAATCACACATGCTCAGCCTGCTTGTTTACTTCTCATACTTACCTTCCAGATTTCTAGAAAAAGAGCAACAGTCCCATGCCAAGGCCCATAAAGGTGAAGAATAAGAATAAAGGACTACTGAAAAAAATCCCTTAAATTCCAACTGGTGCCTACACTTCACTATCTATGTGTTGCTTGGCCAATGAACTTGCACAGTTTCTCGAATTAGGAGGCTCCAACAGCAAGGAGGTGTCTGCTTCACATTTTCATGTATGAACAGGCATGGTAATCTGACTTGTAATGAGAAAGGGAAGAACCAAGACCTCAGCTTTATGCAAGATTCTTATTTTTAGCACCCTGACAGAGCAGATGGGGTGACTCACTGCAGCATAGCCTGTCAGGTCTGCAGCCTGACGACTATGTGCTACAGGTGTAGTGGGACAAACACAAACTGATGGGGTACTGAGTGACAGTTCTTAATGCAACATTGCCACCAAGCCTTGGCTATATGTGCAAGACTTCCCACTGCCTGGGAGGGACATGGGCACCGAGAAAGTACATTAGCAGGTATTTTCTGTAAGGGAACACTGCCAAGACTGCTGTAGGTTTGGCCTGACAAAGCTGTTTCTAACCACCAGACTCAAGCCTTGAGAAACATTCTTTCCTTGTTTTTCTAAAACCATAAAATTGACTTCTGAATAAAGACTATCAAAAGTCATCTTTATTTCTAATTTTATATTATTGTGGGTATGGAGGAGATGGAGGGGCATGGGAGGACAGACATGACCTCGAGCAAGTGAAGCTGCAGGAGAGCTGGGGTGGGGTGAGGGGAACTTGTTGGACTCAGTCAACTAGAAGCAAGATGGAGGTGTGGAGGTGAGACCCCGAGGTAAACTTAAGTAATAGATCCACATGAGGAGGAAGCAGGGAAGGGGATGAGGCTATCATCAGCACAGCACCAGGTCCTACGCGAAAGCACAGAACACCAAATATTTAATAAAAAGTAAACCTCTAGGCCAACTCTAGTTTTGAATCAGAAGCATAAGCCAGTGATTTTGAAATCATCTTTTTCTCTGGTCTTCACATGAAAGGAGAGCAAAGCATAAAAGGTGCTGAATGGATTTTTACATAAAAAAGTCTTCCTAAATTGAAGCAAATAGCATACTGCAATCTTTGAAGCCTGAAATGGCCTCAGGGCACATATTTTTATTCCTGACAAGCACCAGAGAGCAGCTAGTATAAGTGCAGCTTGAAACACTAGTAGTGTTTATAACCGTGTGAGGAGTCACATGCAGAGCACTCCACACACTGGGAGCACTCCAGGCGTGGTTCTTGTGCGAGATCCCTTACCACTGTCAGGCGGGGCACCCTGCTCTATGCAGGAAGGTGCGGCCTCCTCCTGCCAAGTGAGCATGTACAACTGCATGAGGGAGCCAGACAGCTCCAGAGCAGGCTCCCCTCGGGACACCTCCTTAGGACACCTCCCGTCTGGAAACCTAGTCCCCAAGGAGAATTTTAGCTGTAGCAGTAGCCAGATGAATCAACTTCGAGTAGTGAGGTGGTTTCCTCCCCCTGTCCACAGGGAAGCTGCTGTCCCCAGTACATTGCAATTTTATTTCTAGACGTATTTATTTTCAGACTACTTTTTAACACGATGAAAACAATAAAAACCCCAAACTCAAGGCACACATATCCTACTTAAGTTTCCATTCACCCAGAAGTCAGAGAGTGAAACTGAAGCAACACTTGCTGGCACAGGTGCACACTCTCAGAGCACGGCTGCAGCTCATACCTGTCGTGTTTGTTCTCCTGGGCTGCTCTTAGGAGCTCCTGGATGTTTTTGGTGATCTGTTCAGTCTTCCGGATGACATCTTCTGTGCTGGGGAGCGTGGGGCTGGGGACCAAATGGGGCTCTGTTGTGTCTGGCAATGAGCCATCACCTTGCCACACCATACTCCTTTGCCGCCCCTTCCGGTTTGACCTGTGGACAGTTAAGAATGGCTTGGCATGACAAATGCTCATTAGCTGTTTCTGTGGTTTCCTTCCTCCTGTTTACCAGGACACACAGCAAGCCCTGCTTATCACCAGAACCTACAGCCACATTAAAGCCTTTCTTTTTTTCCTGGGCTGTAGTTAGGGCTGCTGTAGACAGTGTGAAGAAGGCAGACAGAGGAAATAACAGATGGGGAGGGTGCAGCTGTAAACAGCCATCCCCAGGCTGCCAACTACTTGACAAACAAACTCAGACTGCAGGAAGGTACAGTATGCTGGCACAAGGACAAACAGCGCTGAGGCAGTAACGTGAGTACAGAAGGCACAGCTTATGACACTGGGAAACCAAAGCAGCTGAAGACCTTAATGGTCTGAAGATAAAGGGGTGAAGGTGGCTAAGGCCTGCCATGTCTGTGCCAACAGCCCCTCCCCCTCCCTGTGCTCTCCCCTGCACATACACTGTGTCATCTGGCTCAGTGCCATAGGGAGTGTTGTCATAGTCACTCTCTGGTGTGCTGTTCTGCTTCTCCAGCCTGGATGCCTACAAAAAGAAAGGGGGACCCCGGTTAGTTTTGAACAACACCTCCTTCCTCAGTCTTCCCAGGGAAGCATTCCTGCCAGGCTATGTCACCTTCATACCCAGAGCTCATTTGAGACAGGAGCCAGCCCTTTACAGGAAATGTAGCAAAAGATGAATGAATACTGGGTCCACTCCTCCTTAGCTCACCAGCGGCTCCCTGAAGAGACACGCTCTGACACAGGCACACACTCAAACCTCTCATTTAGTTCTCAACAGAATGGAAGGAGATGCAGTTAGTAACAAACACACCAGTACTTATCTGAACCCACACCTTCAGAGCTGGAAGCTAACTGTAAATGATCTGGTTTAACACCAGATGAGGAAAAGGACCAAGAGCTAGCTGCTCACCCTTAGGCAGAATCTGCAGGAGGAAACAAGAGTCAGGCCTCAAGCCTTCTGCAGATTCCCACGTTACTACACGCTTGGTAAGTCTGATGGCTGCTCTAAGAACTGCCTTCAGGGATGGTTTTTGTGAGCCATTAAGAAAGCCAGCCATGTGCTGCTTGTGAACCAAGTGGATCGGCCCAGTGTGACTCTTAGTTCCACACCACTTTACCTGTTTTCCAAAATATTTACCTCAGAAAGATGCAGGGATTTGGTATAACCGAGAATGTTCAAAATGGGCTGGAGATTCAAACATGAAACATTGCAAGGGAATGGCAGTACCATTAAAGGCAGGGGCTCTCAGTGTGACAAGACGTGGTGAGGACCACATCTTCTGGAGGAATCTGGTCTAGACCATGTGGAGAAACCATCTCTCGGTGTTCATCTTACCGTGTGTGACAATCCCTTATCTAGAAATGAGCATAAGCCGATGCAAAACCTACACTGATTACTGATTGCCTGTTTCCAGCCGTGCACAGCCAGGGGACTGAACTGGTGTGGCAGTGTGGCAAAGGCTGCAGCCCTAAAGCTTTGCTTAGACACATCCAGAAGATGGCTGCTAGAGGAGGCTGGTTTGAGGAAGTCTACATACGGTTTGTGGTTTGGCCAGCTCCAAGGTTGGGTGCCTCCTCAGTCCCACCACACTCTGCTTTCTGTCTGTCTGTCTGCCTGCCTGCCTGTCTGCTGAGGTCCTTCACATTTCCTCCTGGACTTCCTCTCTCCCTTTCTACAGAAGACACCAGGGTTGGCTTCCTAATACAAACTTTCTTATCCATTCCAACTCATCTGATAAATGACGGGTGCTGGCTTGGAACCCCATGAGATTAAAGCTGAGTTCTTAAGTGCCTGCTCACTGGCTCAAGTCAGTGGATTACTGACACTAGAAGCCCTGGCAGTAGGCAGAGGGGGCCCCAACCATATTTAGTGCAGGGGCAGTGAAAGCAGAGGCTTGAGGACCTGATCTTAGAATTCCACCACCCCAAGACCTTTCTTACCTTTTACAGGGAATGTCTGACTAATCTTTATTTTTTCTCAAATATCAAATACACACACACACACACACACACACACACACACACACACACACACACACACCATTTCAATTGTGCTGGATAGTCCACTCAGAGCTGCTCTCATGGGAGGAAAAATCTAGAAGACAGGATTAATATCCTTTGCACCTTGTATTTTGGGTTTTGAGATAAGAGTGAGTCCTGCTATGTAGCTCAGTTTGCCTTAAACTTGTAATCCTCCTGCCTCCTGGAATCCCATGTGTCTCTATAAGAGATAATTGTGCTTTCCCTGGTGTCAAGATGGCAATCAGAAACTGAATACATTACCCACAATGATCACAAGTGCCACGCTGTTTAAGAACCTCAGAAGAGGGAGCCGCACACCCACCAAGTGCTCAGCAAGCGCTCCTCAAGTGCAGAGGGCAATCACCCAGGGTCAATTACTTACGCACTCAGTCCTTCTCCGTCGTCAAAAAAGCATACAGGATTTCAATGTAGCCAGCATTTAAGTTTATGAAAATTACTGTGAACATGCAGAGCCAGGGCTGTTAAGTGCTGCTCTCAAAGCTGTTAATAGAAAAGTCACCTTATAGCTGGTGTTGCTTCGGTTCTCTAACAACTTGCCATTTTCTCTGCACAGACAGACCACAGAAACCTAAGCCCACAGCAAAGTTGCCGGGAGCTCAGATGAGCCTCAACGACTTCACTCCTCACTGTACAAAATCATTTCGGTAACTGGTCCTTCTCAAAGCTACCAAAACTCCATACATTTCAAAACCCACAAAATGTTATGGTGGATAAGAAGGGCCTACTTGTTTCTCTTTAAGAAAATCATTAACAGACTGGGGGAATTTCATTATTATTTTGCTGCTCTTTAGCTGGATTATTGAAACAAAACCACTAAGTATACTTTCAGGACAGCCCAGAAGACTCCAAGTACAACACAGCAACAATTCTTTGGCTTCACTGCTTCAAAAGGGCTGTGAGGAAACTCAGAGACCTTGCTAGCCTGGCAGTGGATAGGTCCCCATCGCTCTGGGGGTTGGGGGTGCACAAAGGCTTACAGGGAAGGAGCTCTCTACCCATAGTTCCCTTCCCTCTTCTCACCCTTGCTACAGACAGACTGGGATGGAGTCTGAAGGGCAGGTCTCCAGCACTTGGCTCTCCCCATAGCCTCCCTCAAGAGGAAGTCATCATGCTCTCTGTGCATGCAAAAACATTTTCCTTTTTACATGACGGTCCTTTGGAGCAGGGGCCCTGACACTTAAAACATTTGCGCCCTTTAGCTGCCCTTCTTAAAGGTGTGGGGGAGGTGAGCCCTCTAGAGGAGCGTGAACATGTCCTACTCTGCAGTATGAAGCACACACCAGTACACACAGGCAGCTTTCAGACTGCAGCTACCTCCCCTCTGCACTGCTAGCAAGCATGACAGCACCAACTGAGGGCTGGGTTTGTCAGATATGGTGGTGCTAACAAAAAGTAAGTCTGTAGTTAAAAAAGTCATGACTCTTTCATGTTAACCTAAGTACAATACTTTTAATAACTGTAGCTCCAAAAAAAATGAGACAGATTTGCCCTGTTATATTTAACCAGCAGCCAGCTTAATTTTCTGTTTGACAGTATGCTTAGAATGAATGCTATAGGCTGATTTGTGAGCTTGGTTAAACAGGTGAAAAGGAGCAATGTGGAGTTACACAGGAGGGAAGGGAGGCTGGATCTCTCTAGGAACAGATGTGCATGAGGGCATGTGCCTGCTGCTGTGAGAAACCAGGAGCCAAGCGCTGTTTCATGCAGACAGAGGGCAGTTAGCAAGGGGCAGGGACAAGAGGGCCAGCGCCCAAGCACAAAGCGCCCAGGAGCACTGCCCCTCCTCCAGGGCAGACCATTCAGAGTGTACTTAACCCTTCGGGCGCTTTCGTCCCTGGACCAGGAAAGTGTGGAGGGGAAGGAAGGCAGAGACGAAGAGGAGGCCACAAGTGCACTCCTCCCAATCTGGAAGTGGAGAGAGAAACAAGCTTGGGAACACACACACACAAAAAAAACGGAACAGACGCCCACCTCCCACCCTACAGCTCATCATATAAGACTCCCATGAGCTCCATGACAGTGGTGACAGCTATGACACAGCTCCTGAGAGCCTTAATCCCTGGTGAAACTAGTGCCTGCTGGACACCACTCTCCATTCGAGAGGCCTCTTCTCTTTAAGGGAAAAGATACCACAGCTATCATAGCTACGCTTGGCATAGCTGTCAAAACTGGCAGCGCCTACCATTAATGCACAGCCTACAATGACGCTTGTTCTCCAATTAAGAGGGACGATATGACCTAAGTTCTGTGGGTGACTAAATTAGTGCTCACCATCACTCCAATCTTCAGTACCATAGATACAGGACAACACAACAGCCATATACCCCACCTTCCTCTAAAATCAAGTACACTGTGTAAGTTACCAAGGGGTTTTCCTAAGTTTTGTTTTCAGTTACATAAAAGGATTCTGCCAGGCTGTGGTGGCACATGCCTTTAATCCTAGCACTCAGGAGGCAGAGGCAGGCTGATCTCTGTGAGTTCGAGACCAGCCTGGTCTACAAGAGCTAGTTCCAGGACAGCCTTTAAAGCTATACGAGAAACCCTGTCTCGAGAAAAAGAAAAAGTGGAATTCTTTTTCACTTAGTTCAGATGCAAATACACTATCTTCAAAGCATTAAACCAAACAATCAAAAGCTGAGAGATGAATCCCAGGTCACACACAATACTGCAGCTGCACCACTCTGAAGCTGACAAAATTAAAATCAGGTTCATTTATTAGATGTTTTTTCAAGACAGGGTTTCTCTGTGTAAATTGTCCTGGCTGTCCTAGAACTCGCTCCGTAAACCAGGCTGGCCTCGAACTCAGAGATCTGCTTGCTTCTGCTTCTTAAGTGCTAGGATTAAAAGTGTGTGCCACCACCACCTGGTTAATTTATCGGCTCTTATCATTACTTTGCATTACCCTAAGGATTTTACTGAAACTCTATGTACCCTGAGGAAATAATTTCGACACTCAAAAGGAGAAATATGATGCTTTGAAAAAATAACTGCATAAGGCAGTGTATGCTTGTGGCATACTGTGAAAACAGACATCTTCATAATAAACCAATCCACAAGACAGAGCATTTTAATGTTTGAGAACCTGGCATCCCAATTTGTGAGCCACTGCAAAGACCGTGAAAACCTGACACAGAGCAGTCTTTGGAACTGACACTGTGGGGTGGATGCACCCTCTATTATTTACAGCTTTAGTTTTTTAAGTTTATTTTGGAGACCTCCAGGCAATCCCCCTGCTTCAGCTTCCTGAGCACTGCCATAGTTGCTACTCACACTGCATCTTTATGAAATGATCAAGCCATGCTAACAGCCTAAGCTGTAAGCAAGGTGCTGAAGCCCAGAGTCTTGTGTATCAGGTCACTTTGGTCCTAAGTGCTACAGTTCATAGAAGGGGCATACCTCTGCCTACTTTTGTTGTGCTCTAAAAATATTTTACGTATGAGTGTTTTGTATGCATATATGTGTGTGTGCCACATGCATGCATGTATGTGTGTCCTGGAGGCCGGGAGATGTCAAATCCCCTGAAGCTGGAGTTACAGCTGGCTGTGAGCTGTCATGTGGGTGCTGAGAAATGAACCCAGGTCCCCTGCAAGAGCAGCCAGTGCTCTAACCATTGAGTCGTGCCTCCAGCCCCAACCTCTGACTATTTTGAAGACAAAAACATTTCTGCTAGTGACCTTTACAATTGGCTTTTGTTTGTAGAACTTGGGAAGGAAGCTTTGCACGAAAAATGCCAACAGAGGCTGTCTGGGAAATACATCATGGGAGAGAGGAACTGGAGGGGAGGGGCTGGTAAGAAACCTTCCGTCTACAAGTCTGTGCTCTCACGGCCACATTGGGAGCAGCTGCAGACATGTTCACTCAGCAGACACAAGGGCACCTCTCAGAGCTAGGAGAATCTACACGGTCAGAAGAGGGGCACACAGTAGGGACAGACACACAGCGGTGCTACTTACATGAGCAGGGAAGGGTTGAAGTCTCGTCCTGGCCTCCTCAGGGCGGTTAGCTTCCCCCATAGGGAGGTACGGTTTCTGACCTGATCCAGTCTCATACATGGACATAGGCCTACTGCCCCGGGCAGATGGCCGGCGCTTTAAGGACGAGTGGCTCGAAGTGTCTGGGTAGTCAGGGCCAGTCTGTACCTGACAGGCACTGGTTGTCGCCTGCTTCCTGAGGCTTGAATTCTCACACTGGAGTGTTTGAAGCTGAAAGAAATGTTAGGCAGTGGGCCTGTGTTTTTGCACAGTAAGTAGACAAAGCAAACACCAAGTTCATGAACACATTACCAACTTCATGCGAACAGTAAAGCTAGCTGGGCTGAAAGTGAAAGCGACAGGAACTCTTCCTTCTGGAATAACCCAGTTTTTTGTTTTTTGTTTTTTTTTAATCACACAGATGCATGAGAAACTGAAGTCTTACCACCTAAAATGTTGTGGTGAGTCTAGAACACAACTGCAGATGAGCTGTCTCAGGATTATTCTAGGGCCAGAACACATCTGCAGATGAACTGTCTGGATTATTCTAGGTTCAGAGCACTAACTAGGATTGTTTCCACATGATCCCTGAGCAATTTGCAAATGAGAACAGTGACAGGAGACACCACGGAAGCAGCACAAAGAAACTGGAGGTGCTGGTGCAAAGCAAGAAATAGAGTGAGGTTCAGCTCAGGAAAAGTTCCAGTGCCTACTGCTTTCCAAAGAGCCAACAAGAAAAATTAGGATAATTTTTTTTTTTTATTGTATAGCACTCTTGATATTCCAAGCACTTTCAAGCATGTCTTTAAAAAAATACGAGGGAACTGAACCACAGTGAGTTTGCTAAGTTAATATATCACAGAAAACTGGCAACCTAATGGACTAAGTTAGCATCTTCACATGATGGGGTGTTCCACGAGGCATACTTGCTTCTCTTTGGTGAGCAGTCCTTTTTCTGCCAGGGCTGGTATACCTGGCCTTTCTCTCATGTGGCTTTGTCACTCAAAAACCATGTAGTCGGTGATGTTGGCTTTAAATGAGCTAGCCTGCCTGGTAGCACCTTGCTTTGGTGAGACACTGTCACTTGGAGGCCCAGTTTTCACATGTAGGCTGCTTCAAGGTTAAGACATCAGCAAGGAATTGTGGGGCTGGCAACTTAAATCAAGTAACCACATCCATGCTGCACGGGTCCTTCCATGTCACTGTATCAACTGTCTACTCTTTGACAGGATGTACGCTCTGACCAAATTGCCCTCCATCGCCAAGGCTTAAGTCCGTAAGCAACTGTGCCTGCACCAGGAGATCCTTGCTCTCCAATATCGAGCTCATGCAGGGTTAGGAGTTAACTTTCAATTTTTATCTAGATAGCATGGATCTGTGGAAATACACCAATAGTAGCTGGTCCTCTTCATTAATTAGCATCGCTTCCAAGCAACTGTTAAATGTGAAAGATCAGACATAAATCACACTACTTTGACAACTCTATTAAAAACTTTATCTAGCTTTGAAGTAAAAATCAAAACATCCTTTGCTATGTAAACAAACCCTACATCTTTGTATCAGTAGAGCCATAGTTCCACAGAAGCATGGCTTCTTTGCCTATATTTGCAACCTCCTCTTCGAAGAGAGTCTCCAGAAATTCTTGCATTCCGGAACACAGACTGGGTTATGAATGGGGAATCAGATGGCCTCAGTGAGGAGTGTAAGTGATTAGGTCCCTCATGTGTCAGCCTACGTAAAAACGTCACTGTGGCTTCTCAGACTAGGCTGTGAAAAAAGAAACTCTCAGCACTGTCATTGCCTCCAAGATGCCTAGTCTGGATTTTGCCCTATTGTCTTCTGAGATGAGCACAAGTTCCTGGTTTCAATCACCTGGGCCCCTCAAAGGGAGTCTAATCCAGGGCCTCAAGCTCGGAGGCACATGGTCTACCAGAGCCATGACCCTAGCATACTGAGACAGCCCAAGTTACTCAGGCTGGCCTTGATCTAGTTCTTAGCCCAAGAATACTTTGGATTTGTGATTCTTCTGCCTCAGCTTCTAAAGAGGCTGGGATTGCAGGGTTGTGTCAAATTTAAAAAATGTAATTACTTAGATAAACTTGAACGATGTTCATCTTTATAAGAACCAGGCAGCCAGGAGGTAGTGGTGCACACCTTTAATCCCAGCACTTGGGAGGCAGAGGGCAGGAGGATCTCTGTGAATTCAAGGCCAGGCTGGTCTACAGAGTGAGATTCAGGACAGCCAGGACTACACAACACAGTAAAACTCTGCCCGAGAAACAAAAAACAAAACAAAACAAAAAAGAACCAGGTTACACTCTGTTTGGAAAAAGTATGGCAGGAAATAAAAAGTTACAGGTAAACAGTTTCAGAAACTAAAAGCATTTGTAAGAATTGAAGAGATAATCAATGATCAATGGCCTGCTCAACATTTCCTTTTAAAAACTTGTATTGATTTTTCAGTGTGTATGTGTATGTACCTAGGTGAGTGCATACCATGGCATCTGTGTGGAGTTGGGGAGTTGGGTTTTTCCTTCCACTGTGTGTGTCTGGGGAACTGCAATCAGGTCATCAGGCTTGGCGGCAAGTGCTTTACCCGATAAGCCATCTCCCCAGTTCTTGTTTTACATTTCCTAAAGAAACTCAAAACATTTGCTTTTGGAGATACAGGTTGCCTCTAGAAATTAAAATAAAAACAAAAAAATGATGATGTGTGCATGTGTATGATGTATGAGTTGTGGTGGTCAGAGGACAGTTTTATGGTGTCCTTTCCTGCCTTTATGTGGTACCAGGACCTGAAGCAGGTGGTCAGGCTTCTGCAGTAAGTTCCTTCACCTGTTGGGCCATCTTACCAGCCAATTAGTTTTCCTCATTAACTTTCTGCATGTGTAGGAACCTCCCTCAAAGGCTCCCTCCCTTACAGATGGAGACAAGGTATCTGACTGTCTCATCTGGCTAGCAGCTTGCTCTGGAGACCCCATCCCTGCTTCTGGTGCTCAGCCACTGCAGGTGGACCACTGTGCCCAACTTGGCTTTTTACATGGGTTCTGGGGGTCCGAACGTCAGTCCTCACCTTGCCTGGCAAATGTTTTACCCACTGAGCCATCTCCCAGCTCCATCTGATGAAATCTATGGACACTAAAAGGATTGCTATAGGGAAAAGGTGATGTCTGGCAAAGTGATCTACAAAGGCAAGTTTCAGAGAAAAAAAAAAAAATCACTCCAAGAAAATGATTTGTGTGACAACTGCATTAAACTACATTTGTATGTCTTCAGAAAAGGCAGAAGAAACGCAAGTCTCACATGTCACAGCAAAGGGCTCTAGGCCTGTTGGTCTCAGCTGTGACTAGCCTAGATGGCACTGTGTGGCAGGGCTGAGCATCTGCAGGCATTTTCATCCTAGGTAGTACATGTATGGGAGCTACCCATTTCAAAGGTTCTCACAACCGTAATCCCCGGCAAGCAAGAGCTTGGGTCTCTGGCCTTCCTTTGGGAGGTGCACCTTGTGACCAGGTCTTAAGGATTTTAGTCTGAACTAGTGCATTCCTCGAAGACAGCAAAAACCATAAACCAGCCTCTGGGTGCATAAAAAGCTCATTTCTCAAGAGTGTCAATGAGTGTAGTCCTCACAATGCAGGGATGACACTGGCAGCTTTTCAATGTCCTGCTCTCACCCACTCCTACAGGTGAATGCACTCACTCAGTTCCCAGTCTCCAGAGCAGAGGTTCTCAACCTTCCTGATGCTGCAACCCTTTAACACAACTCCTCATGGTGTGGTGATCCCCAGTCATAAAATTATTTTTGTTGCTACTTCATAACTGTAATTTTGCTACCCTTATAAATTGTGACATAAGTATCTGTGTTCTTCAGTGGTCTTTTGGGGGTTGTAACCCACTGCTCTAGGGGACTGGCTAGGAATGTGCTGAACACATGGGTTGTCACTCCTTGCTAGTACAGGTAGAGTGTGTGGGAGTCTGCTATGTGTCAAGCCCTGCTCTAAGTGGCAAGTCCTAGCAACCTAGGATGCTGAGATGTTGGAGAGGGTTGCAGGGTAGCAGTCAGAGTCAGTGCCAACAGAGGAAGCACCTTGCATGGTGTGTGCTATGACGTTCACATTGTTTTGCATCATATGATTAATCTTTACATTGTGTGATTAATCTTTACAATCAGTAATTGGGGGGAGGGGAACCACATCCTAGAAGTAGCTTCCAGACCCCCATGAAGCCTAGGATAGGGCAAAGCTCTGCTGCCTCACAAACACCAGGCAGCTTGTTAGGTCTTTGAAGCACTTATTCTGAATGCATTTTTAGATGCCAATAATGCATTTAGAAGCACACACTGAACTACATCTACAGTCAAACAGGAAAACAGAACCCAGGGCCTTATGCATGCTAGGCAGATGCTTTACCACTGAGCTATAGTCCCTAGTCCTACTCTGGATGCATTTCTAATCAGAAGTATTTCATTTCAAACATCCACACACATCCGGCTTTCAAGAAGACAACTTGGCCCGGAACTTCTATTCTGTCACAGTAAATGGTTTTCTTCCCTCGCCCTTCTGCTCTGGGATCAGTGAGTCAACCATCCTGGCATTGATTAACGTGTTACCTTTTTCTGCATAATTCTCAGCTCGTCACTCAAGTTGTTATTCACCTTCATTAGCTGCTGTATCTTGGCCTCAGAAGCCACTAGGGCGCTTTTGACCTCCATAAACTCCTGCACAGTGACTGGTCCATCTGACAAATCTGAATCTAGGCTCTAAAAATAAATTGGGGAAAATGTTCACAATCTGAGACGATAATGTTAAAGACTAACAGCTAAAGAGTTTCAATCTCTGGCCATGCCAGTGGAATTGCAAAGTTAAACCAAATGAGGAGCAGGGGCACTGCAGTACTTTTGAAATTTTAGTCAGAAGTTCCTAAAGTCAGGTAGGGAGCTGCAAACCTATGCGGACACTGACTGGCTATGGTCTGTCCTGACTTGCATACATTTCCCTTCAAGAATTCATTCATTCACACTATTTATTGAGCACCAAGCAATTTCAGAAGAGAAAGCAAACCAAGACTGCTGCTTCCATGGTGTTTGTTTCCCAGCAGCGTGAGAGGGGATAACTGACATATGATACCCAGTGGGACTGAAGGTGATTAGTGCTATGGAAACAGATGCAGTGGAGCAGGGCAGGGCGCAAAGCTGAACCAGCACATTAAGGAGCTGAGGTGAGCTGAGGGCATCGGTGAGAATGTCTTGAGGAGACGCTTTGAACCAGCAGGGAGCTCAGCTAGAAGGAGCAGATGCTTGGAGGGAAGGGTGGGAACCTAATCAATCAATGGAGGGTCTAGCCCTAAGGGTCTGGTAATGATCTAAGCTTTCACTGAGTGGATTGGTACCTGGGCAGTCCATGCAGGGGTGCCCCTTCTGCCAGTATGAGGTAGCAAATGCTGGACCTAGCTCTTAAATCTACCTCCCTGCTTCAAGCCTCCAACTCTCTAGCCTATCTTATTATTATTCTAGTCTGTGGAGTGCCTCTGTGGATCAGTCCTGAGGCTTCAGCCTGCACTGGGATGGGGCCTTCTAGACTCATGTTCACAGTCCAGTGCCTCAGTCTCTCCTACTAGGCCCCTCTGGCCCAAGCTCTGAGGCAGTTCTGTGGTCAGCCCTTCAGCTATCTAAGAAGCTTTCCAACTAAAACCTTCCGGGCTCTGCACTGCCCTCTAGACCTTGTCCTCCAGTGTGGTGTCATGAAGCCCTGCACTGGCTGCTCCTCCTCTCTGCCCAGACGTCCCCACTCCACCTTCTTTTTGTTTAAGAACCCTAAATTGTCAAGAGCCTCGACCCTTGACGGGCTCTCTTCGCACCCCGCTAGTTTGTTTGTACTTTATGACGTATGCCACCTGTACGGTGTATGTTTTATTGTCACCACCCCAACTGGTGACATCTCGGGAAAGGAGATGAGCCTCACTGGGAGAAGAGCATGCCAAGAAGCTGCTCAATAAAAACTTGAGTGCACAAAAGCCTCTGGTCATGCTGCACAAAACAGTCATGACACCAACAGGGCCAACTCTTCACTTGCTCAGGGACAAAGGGCCTTATTTTAAGAGCATTTACTTTTTTTGTCAGTGCTTGGCCTGAGGTAGCAAGGTACCCAACTTCATCCACAGTATCTTTGAATGGCTAACCCTTGCCAATTTTTCAGGCAAGCTTTATTTATTTATTTATTTATTTATTTATTTATTTATTTATTTTTACATGTGTATGTGTGTTTTTCCTGGTGGTGCTAGGAATTGAACTCAGGGCCTTGTTCATGTTCATTCAGCATGTGCCATTCAGCATCAGCCCCAGTGGGAGAACAAGTTTTAAGAGACACAAGTCTGTCCTGTGTGTGTGTGTCCTCTCACCTTCTGCCGGTGTGCCTTGCTTGCTCTGGTTTCCACGTCTGTGTCTTCATCTGACGCCACACTGTCATAGTCTGGCTGGTCGTTGTCCTGGCTTTCAGTGCTATGCTGGTTACTGACCGTTCTCAGTATGAGTTCAACATTATCTGTTCGCAGAAGAGGGAAAACTATGTCAGACTTAAAATATATTTTTTCCTACTAAAATAAACTACTAGGATGACTTTCTGGTTTACCCATTTAAAGGACTGAAAGACAGAAACAGTAACATTGTAATCTCGCCCACAGAGGGCTAACACAGTAAGCAGCCCAATGGACAGCTACACAGAGAAGGTCAAGTTCCTGATCTGAGCTTGTAGGGGTCTTACCTAGGTCCCCTGCATATATGCTATGGCTGAGTAGCTTGGTGTTCTTGTGGGACTCTTAATAGTGGGAGCAGGGGCTGTCCTGCTCAGAGTCAGTCTTATGCCTGTTTGCCGGACTCTTTTCCTACTAGAGGGCTGCTGCTCCAGCCTTGATGAGTACCTGGTCTACTATGGCTTGTTATGCGGTTTTGGTTGATGCTCCTGGGTGGCCAGCTCTTTTCTAAGGGAGACAGAGTAAGGGTGGATCTGGGGGAGAAGAAGAAGAAGAAGAAGAAGAAGAAGAAGAAGAAGAAGAAGAAGAAGAAGAAGAAGACAAGAATCCCTGATCCACCTGCTGTGGCTGGACAAACTCTTGGGTCTGCCAGACTGAGGAGGAACATCTTGGGTTTGCATACATGGAGCACAGCTTCAAAGCTAAAAACCTAAGGTGAAGTGATGCAACTGGATAATACTTGTAACGTTCCTATAGGGGAATGGCAAGCTAAACAGAAAGTAGTCAGGTGTGGTGACACACGCCTTTAATCACAGCACCAGGGAGGCAGAGGCAGGCGATTTCTATAGGTTAGAGGCTAGTCTCATCTAAAAAGCTTCCAGGACAGCCAAGGCTACAGAGAGACCCTGCCTCAAAAACAAACACCCAGAAAGTACACAGCCTAGAAATCAGGTGCTCAAAGAATAGGGACAGTGGCATTACGTGGCATTCATTTGACTCCTGGTTACAAGTCAGACAAGTGGAGAGTGGACACACATGTACATTATCAGTCATATCTGTTTCACAGATGAGCAATGACTTACAGACTCTGATTTGTTTAGAATAAAAAGCTCACAAACCACCCAAGTTTGTGATTTATTTTGGGCAACTCAAGTTATGCTCCAATTTCTAAGACTGTTTTATAGGCAGCTTTACCTGGAGGTAAATTCTGGCTTCTTAAGAGGTAGAGGTGTTATTTTACTTTTTAAGATGAATCATTAAAACCAACTGACTACAGGGGATGGTGACACTAATGAGTGACGGTGGGGACCACTGCAGTCTCTACCATACTCTGGCCTGTTTCTCTCTGTTCATCTCTCTATGTATGTAAGCACACAGTCTTGTTATTCTCAGTGAATATATCCTAAAAACTTGTCACTGAGGTTCTTAAAGGAGACAGAAGACTAGAGTTCTTGAGAATCACAGCATTTTCATGAGCCAACACACAGCCTTGTTTTACAAGCTTCTATCTAAGGACTCCCTATGTAACACACACCATGGATTCATGACCACAGTCTGAGGCCAATAGTCATGCCAGGAAATCAGACATAAAACCTAACACACATACTTTCCCCGATGTCTCTTTTCCACCTCCTGGCACTCAGGGACATTGCTCAACACCTTCCCCACTATGCTTGGAGCCATTTTTTTTTTAATTAAGCAGTGAAGTCAACAACAAAAAGTATGAGAATGTGGACAAACGTGGTACTAAGTAGTCTATGAAAGGCACTTACACAGTATAAAACTGAAATATAGAAGCAGGAAGGTACAAGACTCAACTTCAGCCAGGGATGTACTTTGGGCAAATACTGAATCTACTGTTGAGGAGCGATTCCATGTGCATATTCGCATATGGTTTAGTCTCCTGGGCACAGCCATCTCTGTAAATACACTTACTTCCCTTACAAAATGTAGACTACATTAAAATTGTACTATTTCACTTCACATCACTGTTTCTGGAAGCTGTTTGTGTACTACTCATGTGATGGGGAATGTACTACTGTGTATGTTTATCTTATTGATTATTGAATAAAATACTGTTTGGCCCATGAGACAGCAAGTTAGACGGAACTAGGAGTCAAAGAGGATTCTGGGAAATGTAGTAGAGAAGTGTTGATCCAGGCAGAAAGTGACATAGCAAGGAGACTCATATTTAAGTGAAAGAGAAACAGGAAGGGCCCTCTTTTCCCCTTCCTCCTCCAGCGGCAGGATGTGATCCACCAGCCAGGAGGGACACCAACAAGGCGTCCGATAAGATAAGTCTTATAAAATATATAGATTTATGATAATTAAGACTGAGCTAACAGATGAGGAATACTAGTCATTGGCCAAGCAGCATTGATACAAATTTCTGCGTATTTCTTTGGGCCTAACTCAGGCAGGCGGCTAGCGTAAAGCTCACACGTGGTGGTGGGGCTCAGGCAACTTTTGGCAGATAGATTTATAGTAACACTCATGTGTCTGTTTCTCTAGAATTTATTATTTAGCTGTTTCTAATGTCACTGATATTATACCAACACACATGAAACATCGGATCATCTCTCCTTTAGAGTAGGCTTGTTTTGAGGTTCACATATGCATACTCTCCACATTGCAACTTCACCAATCTAATTCACCTTCCCAGTCTTCATTCTTGGTTGAATTACAGAACCAAATTCTTCAACAAACAAGAGGAAACACAAATTATTGTCAGTTTACCGTCTGCCTTTGGGGAATGCGATCTTGACTGGAACCGTACTTTTTAATGGCACAAATACTTTAAGTGCCTCAAAATAAAAGTAGTCATTTCTGTATAGAAAAATCGAGAAAATAGGCATGGGCTGGTTGGAGGGAGTGGCTCTTATGTCTGCAGACTGGTTCTCTAAGAGCCATGCTGAAATGGATGCTCATCGAGTTTTACACTTCTGGTCACAATGCTTCTTGCTATATACACTTAAAAAGTTTACAGCAGCAAATTCCAAATATTTAGAGGCAGAGGGCTCTGAAAGTAAGAGATATCAGGGAAATAGAACTCTAATCTAGAATCTTCACTTTCTCATTTATGTCAGAGTGGGACACTTGCCTTGTGACCGGGACAGAGGACTGCCCTGCTGCTGTCTCCTCTTGGCGTCACTGAGGATGTCGATGACCAGCGTAGCAAACTCGTGGGCATTAAACCGAGCTAATTTCTGTCTGCCCTAAAGGGGAGAAAGTAACGGGAAAGACTTTTCAATGTAAAAATATAAGCATGAGTAATGACAGCAAATGTCAAGACTGTCACACTTGTACAAAGGTCTCCCAGCTCAACCATATTAACTCCATCGCCACCCTTCTCCAATTAACACCAACATTTGCTGTTATGAATTCAAATAAAATGGTTCTGGCAGGATGTGTCGTTCATGCTGGAACATGTGATTTAGCACATGAGGCTGAGTTCAATCTCCAGCACTATCAGAATATAAAAACACAGTTCTAGCCAGGTGGACCTCTGTGAGTTCGAGGCCAGCCTAGTCTACAGAGAGAGTTCCAGGACAGCCAGGGCTCTACACACAGAAAAACCCTGTCTCAAAACCAAAAAACAAACAAACAACAAGGTGAATCTGGAGGGAAATTTCCAAATTTAAAGATGAGGTTATAGGCTGGGCATTGGTGACGCACGCCTTTAATCCCAGCACACGGGAGGCAGAGGCAGGCGGATCTCTGTGAGTTTGAGGCCAGCCTGGTCTCCAGAGCGAGTGCCAGGATAGGCTCCAAAGCTACACAGAGAAACCCTGTCTCGAAAAACCAACCAACCAAACAAACAAAAAAAAAGACGAGGTTATAGTCTGGATATGGGTCTGTTCCTTCAGTCATTAGTTGGAACTAAAACCCTTCCTCATTTTCTCACTTCTCTGTCAAACAATGAGGCTCCTTTTAATATTCCATTGTTACAGACAACACACATGTATAAATCTGCTTTTTTTTCCAGAAATATTCTTAAATGAGGATTTCTTCGTACAAGGATTTAAATAAATTTGAGGTTTCTGATCAATCAATAAACAATCTTCCTCCCTTCCTCTCCTCACTTCTTCTCTCCCCGATCTCTGTCACAGTCTTGCTATGTAGCCCAGGCTGGCTTCAAGCTTGAGGTTCTCCTATCCCAGCTTCCTGAGCACTGAGGTCACACAAGGAGCCAACAAGTTGCCTGACTGTCATATGCAGCTGCCCAGTCTTGTCATGAGAGCCTATCCTGCTCCACTACCAGCCTAGTGTCCTTTACTATCTTTTACCATTTCCTTTCATGTTTGTAAGTTCTTTTTATTTTTTTCTATTCATATCTGCTTTTCTTATTCAATCTCAAGTTGTCTGTTTACATGTATACAGGACACTAAATACCACGACACCAGTCATTTCCCAAATAATACTAACTTTTCACACTGGGTCACTTGCCTGGTTTCGTGTTGAGGAGTACTCAGGATTGACCGGAAGAAAGGGGACGACGGTTGTCTCTGTTACCAGGGTGCTGTGGTTTTGCGTGGCAAGCCAGACTAGCCGGAGGAAAAGAGCCAGAGACAGTATCTCATCACACCTGTGGTGCCAGAGTTCTGCTGGGAGGCACAGCTCACACACAACGAGCTCACACACTACGAGCACACTCCAAATTCAACACACGCAAAAGTACATGTCAACACATGGGTTATGAGGACAGAAGCAACTGGGCAAGTAAAACACAGGCTGGCAGCTTGCCACCTCCCACTGAGAACAGAAGCCTAGAAAAGCCGCATGTTAAGTCACCTGCATCAGTCTCTCGCCTGTCAACTTCATCGTATACATCCATGGCAAGTTCTTCAAACAAATGATTACTTAGCTGAAAGTAAAAATATCAGGACACAAGGGACAACAGTTAACACCAGGAGGATGCCTGTGACATAGTCACCCTTTATCTCCAACCTCTTACTCAAAGCCAGTGCCTAGTGAATGCCTCCTGTTACCATTTCCCTGCTAGCAGCAGCTTCCTCTCACAGACTCTACTCCATGACAGGCAGGTTACTGCTACGAAGAGGCAAAACAGGTCTCCACCCTGCTCTCACTGTGGCAGCCAGCACTCTAGTCTCTGCTGTCCTGAGAACTTTTGTCTGCTCCTCTCTAAGTCCCTGGCAGGATAAAGAAGTAAAAGCCTGGGGTGGGGATGGCAACTGAGCGCAGTGGCAGGATGTAAGGCCCTGGACCTGACAGCCATGCTGGTGGGAGTGGGTGAGCACATTGCTGCTCCACACTTCCCAGCTAGGTTTCCTTGCTAACTTTCAACACAAGAGCTGAGCTTTCCCATCAAGCAAAGCAGACTGTGGCTCATCACACAATCACACAGAGCCAGGAACTGTGAGGACTACCAGAGTCTTCCCAGCTGAGACAAGAGCCAGAATCTGGCTCTTCCACCTCATCCTGACACACAGCAACTGTGATCTCTTTGCTGACTGCTTCATGCTCTGAGGGAATTTGTCACACTGCCACTCTGTTTCTGACACCACAAACAGTGCCTGGCATTTGGAGGTACACCCACTTAGATGAACCTGGAGGTCTTTTATTTAACATTAAAAAAGAAAAAACAAACAAACAAACAAAAAACAGCTGCTACAGAGCCCTCAAGAGGAAATGCCTATGATGCCCTGCTGTGTTAAAAAAAAAAGTATAAAATTCTGGTATACAATTTCCAGAAGAAAAAAATAGAGACGTACAAATAGGAGATAAAAACTGAAGGAAACACTCCAAATACTGAACTTGAGCTCATGGAGAGTGAGGTAACTAAGGACAAGCCATCTCCTTTTAGTTTTTCTAGTGTCCTCGCATCACACTAATTGTTCACAATAAATCCTGCAGGAATCTTGCCAGGGAATACGAGAAAGTCTGGGAGCTCAATCCAGTTTCTACCTCCAAGGACTGGACTACAAGCTATTTTGTTATCACTTGTGGCAACGTGGCCCACACTGCTGAGGGCCTGCATCTTAAGACACAGTGCTAACAGCACCCTGTTTAATACCATTAGTGAAGCTAGAATTTACTATTGTCCCATTTTACAATAGAGGGACAGATATTATTGGCCTTAAGACTTCAAAATGTTAACATTTAATAATTCAAAAATACATTGTTTTTGGTTGTATTTCCCTCAGTTTTTCACTTGGAAGGAAAGTGAGCATATGAGACAGACATAGGGAGGGAGGGAAGGAATGAAAGAAGGGAACAGAAGAAAAGGGCGTATAGAGGAGGAAGGTGGTGGGGGACAGATGCTACCCTGGCACTGGTAAGAGCAGCCACCTCTGAGAATCAGACCCCAGGATGCCCTTTTTCCCAGCACCCCTGCTAGAGGGGAGGTTCTGTGCTTGTAGGGCTGAGGGTGAGACCGGCCATTGAGCCTAACACACAGCCTAAGTCTGGAGAGCATATTAAACTCCATCCAAGGTATTTATTTAATGCTTGTCCCATGTTAGATATCATAGACAAGCTCAGGTTCTGTGTGGCATCCAGCCCAGTCAACACAGGTCAGGAGTCTGACTGTCTGTCTGCCTGTTGTGTATAACAACTTTGCTACAGATAACTAGTACTAAAGGAAAACACACACTCCCATGCTGCCCTGAAAGCTCAACATCTCATTTATCTTACTATATGTCCTCCTTAATTTAAAAAAGGCATTGAAACACACAAACACACAAACTGCAGATACAGAACACAGATACACCAAACAAATTGAATAAAACACATTTATTTCACAATACAGTTAAGTACTAGTAAGGATAAATTTACTATTTGTGATACTCAGTGGTACCGTATGAGGTTCTAAAAGGGTCTCTTGTGAAAAGGAGAAGAAGGGAAAAATCACAAATCAGGGAAGTTGGGCTTTACCTACACCACGGAGGTGCTCAGGCTCCGCAAGTGCTAAGAGGAATGGGAACTAGGCAAGGCAAACATGCAGCAAGAGTCCTGGAGCAGGGCTTGAAGCAGTTACTTTTGACTTCAGAGAGCTAATTCACAGAGCCACCCCAACATTGCTTGTACACCTAACCAGATGGGAAGTAACACTGTGCTAAACGGTCCTTAAAGGTGGCAAAAAGAAGCAAGGGGTCTTGGTTCTGACCCAAGGAGCATCAAGAAGAGGTAAAGAGTGAAATCTCACAAGGAAACCAATAAGCACCTGGTGAGGCTTCATGGGAAGGACTGACAAAGGGAAATCACTCTCCCAGGGCATCTCCAAATATAAAGATTAATGTAACCGACAGGCCTGGGTAGACACACATGGGTCCAGACCATCAGCTTTCGGAAGTGTAAATGTAAAAAGCTCTGAGGAATGGCATACACTGGGCAGCAGGAAGAATCATGCCACTCCAGTGAATGAATGTACCTGACTTACTGCCTTGGCAGCATCAGCTATTGCTATTCCTTACTGTCCTATGTGACTGATATAAGAAATGCCATGGAAGGACACCCCACTCACTCTAGTACCCTGAGAAACACCCAGAATTCTGGCAAACAACACAGGCAGGGGCTGCATTTTTAACATGACAGAAAAGAGCACAGATTGTCTGAAGTAGTTAGAGCACTGGATGTACTCAAGTGCTCTTAGTCTTCATTGCTACATATAGCATGACAGCCTACTTCTAATTCAACAGTCATTTGATGTAACAGGTAACTCAGACTGATAATAGGGACCGGCAGGTTTCCATGCTGGAGCTCACCAGGAAGAGATACTCACAGACTGAAGCTTCTTCTTGGCAGCTTTTGCCAACTCAGACACATCCAGGCTGCTGAGGAAATGCACAAACCATTAAGCAAGTAAACAGAAGCTGTGAGCGTTCTATAAGATTAAGACACCCAAGGGATGAAACTATTATGGTTCATGGAACCGCTGGAGTCAAGCATCTGTAGCCAAAGAGTCACTGAACAGACTGAAACAGTTTGGCCAGCGACTCCTAGAAACCCAGTAGTCAGGTAATATGTTACAGAGAAAAGGTGCTGTGCCACAGCTGGATGACAAAAGCTACTGTTCACTCCATCTCTAGGCCTTGGTATGTGGCTCAGGGGTAAAGTGTTTGTCTAATGTATGAGCTGTTGAGTTCCATCCATAGCACAGAGGAAAAAAAGGGCAAAAAATAAAAAGGAAAATGGAGAAGAAAACTGACAAACCAGGAAGACAAGAGCACAGCCGGAACAGCAGTGACTGTTCTGTGTACTCTGGCAGCACTGGCCAAGAGCTGCAGGGCGCATGGCTGTGGCAGTGAAGCCACCTCACCTTATAGACCAGGGGCCCCAAGCAAGGGCCTTTTTTGCCCAGCTCATGAACTAAGGATACTTTTACATTTTAAACATTTTGGGTAGAGGAGGAAAAAGACCATTCATTTTTCAAGATCTAAAAATTCCGAGTTTCAGTACCTGGCCCATTATCTTAAGAGCCCTCTGACTCTAGAGGACAAGCTGACAACTGTGACAGGCTCACAGTGCTTAACATATTTCCTAGCCCTTGACAAAAATCATTTGCCAAACCCTGTTGTAGGCCAAGAATATAATCTCTTGCGACACAGAAACACCTGTGAATATGACCTCTCAACACAAAATACCAGGACAACTGGCCAAAACAGTGGCAGCATCACTGCCTCCAACTCGTCATTAGTGCATCTGGGATCTGCGCTCTTTCCAAGTTAAGTTTCACACGGTGGTTTACTTACAGCCGTCTTATTTCCAAAGTGTATAGCCATAAAAGAGAAAAATGTATGGGCTCTGTTAAACACAAAATATAACACTTACATACTGCAAACCAAGGCAATGTTGGGTAGATAAACTAGACTGGTCCTTACCTGTCTGCCATTTGAGGGATTATAAAGTGCTGTCCATTTTTGTGATCTGAAACAGAAACCAAAGTTTTGTTCATATCAACACTGAGATATACAAAGGAGTGCCACCATTTTTATTTTCAGTTTAAGTTTTCCAGTTAGTCACCTTCCATAAACATGTGTCACAGGGAGAAACAGAAGAAGTTCTAAGTTCCCTGAGACCTCTCTAGTTCCAGACATCATTCGGCAGAAAACCCATGCTTGCCAACCCTTGCAACTGATTAGCTCACCCCCAGTACAACTGATAGAAGAAAGCTGAAGAAGCCAGGTCAGCTGAGAGCAGGCTCATCAGCTCTCGGTGGCAGATGGCAGAGCTGCACCAAGCTTGGGAGAGGTTCAATGGAACAATCAGGGGAGATGGGCCAGGGCTACAGCAGGTGTGCTTTGCAGGTAGATCCAGAGCGACTCCACCTTGCCATCTGCTGAGCAACTGTGCCCTAACCTAGATTCTAGAACAATGATTTACATTCCAATGAACAAAACCACTACAAGCACCTATGCAGGTTTTGTGCACACTCAGTTTACCCTCTTAGGCAATGCCTGGGAGTGGGAGCACATGGTAAATGTGTGTCTTACTTGGGAGGACAGCTAGCAATCTATCGCAGCACAATGGTAGCTAAGGCAGAGGGACTGTGAGTCTGAGGTCCACCTGAGCTACGCAGCAAGATCCTGGACAAACATTAACAGCAAACCCCTTCTTCAGGGTTGTACACACAGCATCGCATGTGAGGGACTTATTCCATGTCTTTCCCTGACCTACACTAGTAGTTCTGGGGCAGCATCCATCACACTGCAGTTTTAATTTTCTAATCTGCATTTCTGTAATGGCTAATGACGATAAACTCCATGTGCTTGTTTTTTGTTATTGTTTTGTTTTCCTCTTTTTCATCTTTATGAGATGGTCTTGAACTCCAGGGCATAGGAAATGGCCCATAGCCCGGGGAGGTGGCTCAGAAGGTAAAACCTCTAGCTGTGAAAGCCTGACAACTGACTTCAGAACACTGGCCCACGTGTACATGCTCACAAAAACAAACTTGTACACAAAGTCTCACACATACATGGACATGGTATTGCATGTCTATAATCCCAGCCCTTAGGAGGACGGTCAGAGTTCAAGGTGATCTTTGAACACATAGCAAATTAGAGACCAACCTAAGCTAATGAGATCCTGTTTGATTTCTTTTTCTTTTAAATTTTTTAAATTTTATTTTTATGTGTATTCATGTTTTCCCTGAATATCACAAGGTGCCTTGTGCCCACAGAGCCCAAAAGGTCAATAGATCTCTTGGAACTGGAGTTATAGGCAGTTGTGAGCCAACGTGTGGGTGCTGGGAACAGAACCCAGGCTTTCTGCAAGAGTAGCAAATGCTCTCAACTACTGAGCCATCTATCAATTGAACCCTCACCCTCTTTAAGACAGGGTCTCACTGTGTAGTTCTGGCTGACCTGGAACTCAAGAGACCCTACTGCTTCTGCCTCTCATATGCTCAGATTAAAGGTGTGTACCACCACCACTACCCTGTCAAGATCCTGTTTTCAAAATTACGAAAGAGAAATGATTCTTCAGAGGAACATGACTACATTCTTTAACGCAGTCCCTCCTATGAGCAGTCAGGTGTTCAGGCTCCTTATAGCAGGAGTATGTGCAAGAACCAGCTTAGTGCCCGGCCCAACTGTCATCAGACACAGCAGTTGATAGGAACAGATGCCAAGACCCACAGCCAAACATTAGGCAGAGAGAGAGCCTAAATTGGAGATCTGCATTGGGTCCCTTGCCTTGGAGCTTGGGGAACCCCCAGAAGAGAGGGAGGAAGAACTGCAGGAACCAGAGAGGTTGAGGACACCAGAACATGGCCCACAGAATCAACTAAGCAGGGCTCATAGGGGCTCACAGAGACCAAAGTGACAATCATGGAGCCTGCAGTGATCTGCACTAAGTCCTTTGCATGAATGTCATGGTTGCTAGCTTGGTGTTTTAGTGGGATTCCTAACAGTGGGGGTGTCTCACTCTTTTGCCTGATTTTTTTTTTTTTTTTTTTTTTTTTGAGACAGGGTTTCCCTGTGGCTTTGGAGGCTGGTCCTGGAACTAGCTCTTTTAGACCAGGCTAGTCTGGAACTCACAGTGATCCACCTACCTCTGCCTCCCGAGTGCTGGGATTAAAGGTGTGCGCTACCACCGGCCGGCTCTTTTGCCTGATCTTAACTCTTTTCCTCCTATGGGACTGCCTCACCTAGCTCTGATATGAGGGTTTGTGCCTAGTCTTATTGCATCTTGTTATCCCATGTTAACTAGATACCCCTGGGAGATCTGGTCCTTTCTGATGGGAAACAGAGGAGTGGATCTGTGGGAGAGAGAAAAGTTTCAGGCAGCTGGGAAGAGTGGAGAGGGGAAACTGCAGTCAGGATGTGTTCTGAAAATAGAATATTACTTTATGTAAAGATGTGTGGCATTTGTTTTTGCTACATAACTTTATGTAAAGATGTGTTGCTTTGCCTACCTAAGGCACCTGATTGGTCTAAAAATAGCTGAACAGGAGTAGAGGGATAGGTGGGGCTGCTGGGTAGAGAGAATAAGTAGGAGAAGGACTCTAGGCTTGAGACACTCAGAGAATGAGGGGAAAAAGAGAGGGAGAGGCCTGGGGCTAGCCAGGCAGTAGCCAGTCAGTCAGGCAGCCACCAGCCAGCCACAGAGTAGGACATACAGAATGAACAATAAAATGCCCAAAGAAAAACATAGATTTAGAGTAACAGGTTTATTTAGGTTATAAGAGCTAGTGGGACAAGCATCAGCTAAGACCAGGCATTCATAACTAATAGTCAGTCTCCATGTTATGATTTGGGAGCTGGTTGGCAGTCCAAGAAAGGCTGCTACAAGGATGTATTGTATGAGAGAAGAATAAAGAGAAAGACCCGATCCTTCCCCAGCAGAGCTCTACTGCTGGCGCTGCAGGCCTGTTGCACCAGCACTGCACCGGCTGAGCGCTAGTGCTCAAACGCCCCACATGCACGTGCTCTTGATGAATATTCTTTATTGAGAATGGATCGCCAAGCCCAGTGGTGGTGGTGGCGCACGCCTTTAATCCTAACACTTGGGAGGCAGAGGCAGGTGGATCCCTGAATTCGAGGCCAGCCTGGTCTACACAGCAAGTTCCAGGATGGCTATGGTACACAAAGAAACTGTGTCCTTTTTTGTTTTGTTTTTGTTTTTTGAGACAGGGTTTCGCTGTGCCTTTGGAGGCTGTCCTGGAACCAGCCAGGTTGATCTCGAACAGTGGAAACACTGTTTTGAAAAACAAACAACAAAAAGAAAAAAAGGAAGGAAAGAAGGAAGGAAGCTGTGATTTCCAATATCTGGCTTATTTTTTCACTCTTTAGTTGTGGAGAGAGCAGGGGCTTTTGGTTTTGAGGCCAGGTGTGATGGTACTGAGCAAACCCAGGACTGAGGGGCTGAGCAAAAAGGACTGCACAGCCCGGCAGTGGTGGCACACGCCTTTAATCCCAGCACTAGGGAGGCAGAAGCAGGTGGATCTCTGTGAGTTTGAGACCAGCCTGGTCTACAAGAGCTAGTTCCAGGACAGCCTCCAAAGGCACAACGAAACCCTGTCTCGAAAAAAATCAAAATAAATAATAAAATAAATAAAGGACTAAAAGACTTTGATGTCAGCCTAGTATAGGACAGAGACTCAAAAACAGTGAATGAGGAAATGAGAGTGTGCTTTTGACAAAGCACAAATTATTAACAAAACAAAATCTAAGAACTTTAACCAGGATCACAAGATCTCTCATTTTATAACTTTAGGTCTTACGATTAGACTTATGCCTAGATTATTCTGGTATAAAGTTTTGGTAGATGTTCATTCTCCTACACATGCAGTGCAGTTGTTCCTATACAACAATACCACATGCATTCGCACTAAATAATAAAGGGAATATGATTCAGAGCTGTTGGTTTTGTGCTGTGATCTTCCTATACATTGTTTTAGGGATTTTCTTGTTGGTTCCTTGGGATTTTCCATATAGATACTATTTCATCTGAATGGGGAAAAGTTTTATTTCTTCCTTTTTCAATCTCTATGGGAGGTAGAGTTTCTGGAATTTCGCTGAGTAGGAATGGTGAGAATGGACACTGGCCTCAGGAGAGCAGTTGCTTTTCTGGGGAAGACAGGATCCAGTTAAGCAAGCCCCATCTGTTTCTAGTTTGCTAGGTTTTTTTCCCCCCAAAATTATGAATGGATGTTGAATTTGGCCAAATGCCTTTTCTTTCTTTTTTTAAAGATTTTATTTATTTATTATGTATACAACATTCTGCTTCCATGTATATCTGCACACCAGAAGAGGGCACCAGATTTCATAACGGATAGTTGTGAGCCACCATGTGGTTGCTGGGAATTGAACTCAGGACCTCTGGAAGAGCAGTTGGTGCTCTTAACATCTGAGCCATCTCTCTAGCCCCCCAAATGCCTTTTCTATACTCACTGACAATTGTATAATTTCTGCCTTTTAGTTTATTAATGCCCTGAACTACATTAACTGATTTTTTAAAAAGGTTTTCTTTTTTTTTTTTTTGGTTTTTTGTTTGTTTTCTACGTGTATGGGTGTTTTGTCTGTAAGTATGAATGGGTACCACATGTGTATCTGTGTACTCAAGGTCAGAAGATGGTGCCAAATGCCTCGAAACTGGAATTACAGATGGATATGAGCCAATTTGTGGATGCTGGGACCTAAACCTGGGTCCTCTGCAAGAGCAACAGGTGGTCTTTCTTAACCACTGAGCCATCGCTCCAGTCACATTAACTGTTCTCCAGTAAATTATGTTCCAGTGGTTATGCTGCATTTTTTCTTTTTATACATTGCTGGATTTAGTGTGCTAAAATTTGTTGAGGATTTTTGTTTCTGTTCACGGGAACCCCCATGCCTCATTCTTTCTTACTGCTAGGTTTGGTATCCCGCTAACCCGTTAACATGCATTGAGAAGTATTCCTGCTCTTCTTGATATATTTCCTTAAGGGA